GTAATTTTAGTAATGCACTTAAATTTTTTTGAAATTAAATAATGCACCAAAAAATATAGACAAATAACATGCAAAAAGTAGACAATTTTTCTGGCTTTCTAACTATGCAACAGGAGCCATTACAAATTCATCCAAGCTAGTCATTAACTTTCCCACTGGAATGAATCTTGTACTGTGAGTGAAACTGATGATATTCTGTACAGAATACGTTATACAATACGTCATTTGATAGATGAAAACCTTGACTTTCTATTGGTTATAGGTAATATATAATGAAACGTAAGAGAGAACTATCAATGAATTGTGACAGGTGGGTGTGGCAGGAGGGGTCTGATTTTCTGTTTGATAGCTCTGTAACCAAACAAAATTGAAGGCTATAAAAATTATGGTTTATTTGAGCAATAACGATTATATAGAGAATATTTTACTTTTAATTTTGTACATTTTCAAGAGGTGATGTATAAAATAGGGATGATGACATGCTAAGACAAAATGTGTCATGTTAGATCACACTAGTGGAAATTCAGGAATTGTTTTTATATTTCCTTGTAAAATTAAGGACTTAAAACTTGTATAATATCAAAATATGGATTGTTAGCTTAGCTTTTATGTTATTCTAATTGGTATAACATAAACAAAAAGTAGTTTGATCAAATTTTGAATATAAGACACTAAAACCTTGTGACATGTGCAGTAAAGGATGCCTGTGGTGATAGGGTTAACATGTTTACGGCTGAGGATGCACCTGTATTCTTTTAACCTTATTGTTGTCAATAGAGGGCTAGATATTTCTAGATTTTACTGTTGCGTGTTATAAATATGTCCAGATACAGAGTACAAGTAAGAAGTTGAAGTTAGGGAAAGTTAAGTTACACTGTGTGATTGTTAGTTTAGCCGTAACAGGCAATATCTAAAGTGAGTTTCACAGTGGTATTATAACAACATAGGTAAAGAAGAAGAATTTGTCTTGTCAAAGGATGTTCTATAGTAATTTAACCTGCCTGTGTGGACTTTGACGAAAATGAGACAATTATTTAAAGCTCTAGATACAACTGTGATAACCAATAGTGTCACAAATTTTTGCACATGTGTTTGACTTGTTTTGAATATATTAGTTTCAAACAAGTGGATTGTGTGCTGTCCATTTACTGTTGACATTTATTGCCAACAAGCTACAGACACCTACTGTAAATAATTCTGGCCCTCATAAAACTGACATTACAAAATTTACCATTTGTCTTTATCATCTTGCTCACAATATCCTTTATAAGATATTTTGCAGCCTGGCATGGGGATGATTCTAAGTATGTTCTTAAACTTTTATGTGAATTATATTTCTATCTCTTTATCTTCAGGATTCATTTTTGCCTCTAGTTATGATTCTTCAAACTAGATTAAATTCCTGGCAAATGATTTTTTTTTATGCCACCTGTTTTGTGGACATTGGGCCCTCACCTATGTTGCACATAACCCTGGTGTCACTATCCAACCAGGTTTTGTAGTTCTTTTTAAGATCTTATATAAAATATGTCATTTTTAGAAAAGGGTGGACGTTGGGAGTAACATGTAGTAGAATTATTAGGGGGGGTAATATTCTATTATAAGGATTTTTTAGAACTTTTAAGGGTGGCAGATGGTAGGTGTTGTTTAGGAGAAATGTTTTTTGGGTGGCTTTATTTTATCTTATTTCCACTTTTGACTTTATTACCTTTCTTTAAGGGTAACTGCCTTCCCACAACTGGCTGCGCACAGTGAAAGGTAGTAAGAATTGAGACATTGTGGTTGTATGCACTCAACTCTGTACCCTAATTGAATTTTCCATAACTACTAACTGGTTTCTCATTTGCTTTTTGGATTTTGTCTAATAGATGGGATATCCCCAATGCTTTTGGGTGCTATTACCACAGGCTTGTCTCCACACTTCTTTACCAAATTTTATCATTGGTTCAGTACTAACTAGCTGTTATTAACATTTTTGCTTTCACTCGGGATTTACTTAACTGAATTATGTTTGTATATATCATATTTTACTGTTTCTGTTTTGTTTTTAATTAATTGTTGATCACTACTAGTAAAATAACTGTATGATATATAAAAGGCCATTTTCCAAAATATGTTGTGTAATCTTGTTTTTGTTTATGGTGAGTAACTTCTTTTACTTGTAGTGTATAAGCTATACTTATTACACTTTATTATGATTATGCCTTCAACTAATCTTTTAGGTACAATGTTTTAATTAAAGTTCTTTTACCTATGATAGGCAAAGTAAGGTTAGTGTTTTACTCTGAAAACATAAATATATATATATATATATTTCAAGTATAGTATTTATCAATGAAATAATGTTTTTTTTTATTCATTAGAGCAGTCTAATAAGATGTCAAATGCTCTAAGAAATTTATATCCAACCTGCATACTTACAACATGCTGTTAAATCTGGAATTTGTTCAGATGGTACAAATTCACTTAAAATCTCCACAGGAAAAAATACCAATATTTTATTGAGTGCAGAATTGAATGATTGATTTTTTTGGATTGATTTAGTTTTGAAGTTTTTTGTCATGACCATAAATTATTGTGGAAATTTTCACTTTTATGTTACTGTATATATGTTAGCCAATTGAAATTGTTTAATGTTTTTATTAATGAAAGTGTATCAATTATACATTGAACCTCCAGCATAAGTGCAGATACTACATAATAAATAGTAAGACTATGTTTTTAGAAAAATATTACAATGAATCTAGACAGTATTAAATATCTATTCTCTACATTAAGGACAGTCTTTTTTTTCTTTATGTTAAATGGAAATCTAGTGATATTAGTTCTACTAATATGGAACTTTTCCATAGGAAGATAAAGACATGGGCAGAGAACATGGTTATATGGTTGACAAGAATAAAGGCACCTTGACCATACTGAAAGTTAGAAAAGAGGATGAAGGGAAATATGTGTGCATGGCAAAAAATCCTGCAGGTGATGCCAGAAAGATCATAGCACTAAATGTGATTGGTAAGTTCTTAAAGATTGGTTTACTTCAAAGACCATAAAATGAATATATTTTCCAAGTGTATTGATTCTGTTGTTTTCTGATATGATGAAAGTTTTTAGTCTTACAAGTTATTTTTATTGATAATGTAGTAAGCTATTTTGAATTTAATGCTATATTATTTAATATATACACCTGGAAAAAAGTTAAGCACCCACGTGTTTTTTTCAAGTGATTCAGATTCGACGTTCTTGTGACTGATTATAAATTACCATTCAATTTAAACGTGTTTATCAAATGAAATTATGCAATATTGGGCACAAGAAAATAATCCATCCTTTCCGATAACACTTCCACA